CGTTGAAAGCCATTTGCATTTCCCTTTTCTGTGAACTGTGTTTTCATACCCTTTGCCCATTTTCTTATTCCAGGTTGGTCTTTTTCATTGATTTCCATTTTAGGGAAATTAGCTCTTTGTCACATGAGTTACAACCATGTTTCCCCAGATGGTCACTATGTTACTAATAGTGGCCTGAGCCACGCAGACTTCTTCATATTCTTGTCATTCAGTCCATCCAGTCTTTTCTTGTCTGGCTTCTAGGTTCTTTGTAATTCTTAGAAAGGCCTTTGCTACCCTAAAATTGCATTCCTAGAACCTTCTTCTATGATTTCTTCTTGCTGCCTTTGTCTAGCTTTTTTTTTTTTGGCTGCATTGGGTCTTCGTTGCTGTGTGCAGGTTTTCTGTAGTTGTGGTGAGCAGGGGTTACTCTTCATTGCGGTGCACAGGCTTCTCATTGCAGTGGCTTCTCTTGTTGCGGAGCACAGGCTCTAGGCGTGCAGGCTTCAGTAATTGTGGCACTCAGGCTCAGTAGTTGTGGCTCGCAGACTCTAGAGCACAGGCTCAGTAGTTGTGGCACACGGGCTTAGTTGCTCTGCGGCATGTGGGATCTTCCCGGACCAGGGCTCGAACCCGCGTCCCCTGCACTGGCAGGCAGATTCTTAACAACTGCGCCACCAGGGAAGCCCTTATCTAGGTTTTTAAGCTTGATTATCCTGCTGTACCATGTGAGGTACGGATCCTACCTTACGTTTTTCCAGATGGCTACCCCTTGACCAACGTCATCTACCCCAAGAGTGTATTTTCTCCCCACTGACTGAAAGCGGCCTTCATCTCGTGCTATGTTCGCCCGTGTGTTTAGTTAGCCTTGGACTGTGCAGCAGCCCTGGGTTTTCCCTCCTCTCAGCCCCAGCATCCAGGGCCTGGGGTCCTCCCTCCTGAACAGTTCCTGAATCCACCTACCTCTCTCACCGTCCACCTCGCAGCTTGGCTCAGAACTCAGCATTTCTCCCCAGGAGTGTTCAGATATGTCAGTGTCAGTGCTGGGGGGAGTCTTCCAACACCTCGATGGGACCCTGTTTTCCCCGGCAAAGGCCCACTCCCATCTGTTTAGGGCAGGAGAGCCTCCATGCCGGTCCCCACGCACCTTCCTCCTCTATCACTGCCAGGCCAGATCCGCTGAGGTCTTCCACTACCCATTCAGTGTGGTCTTTCACCCGCCATTCTTTCTGCCCAAAACCTGTGCTCCTCTTCCTGCATGGCCAGATCCTATTTCTCCCTAAGACTCCACAGTGAGTGTCCCCCCTGGACCCCAAGCTCCCATCACTCACCTCCCCCCCGTCAGCACAGCCCCCTACACTTACCATGGACAGATAGGAGCGGAGACACCCAGCCAGCCTGCCTGTCGGCCTTCAGGCACCCACACGAGCTGCACAGCACAAGCCAAAGCACAGACAGGCCTTTGCTCCAGAGGACAGAGGCCAGGAGTCTTGCGGCAGCTTCTCCACTCCATCCAATGCGTGCTCCCGTCTCCTTTTGACTCTCAAAATCCCTTCCCTCCCACATGGACCCCCAGGCCATTTAAGCCCTCTGCTCTTGCCTATCTCCTGTCCTCCAGCTCTGCCCGTTCCCATGGGTGTCCTGGGTGGGCCAGAGGTTCTGACACTAAACAGGAAAGGGGAGGGGAAGACACCTTCAACAGGGCCTGGCCTGGGGGGTGGGGAGGATGCTCCCTGCCCGCAGGTGTCCAGTGCCACCAGGCTGACATGCGCTCCTCAACACATATTTAATAACCCATCCTGGGTGCTGGGCCCTGGGACATGCAGTGGACAAAACAAGTCCCTGCCCGGGAGAGCTCACAGGCGGCGGGGACACAGACTGTAAACAAGATAATAAATATAAAGATAATAGCAGTGATGAAAGTGCTGTGAAAAAATAATAAAAGGGGCCGGGGAGAAGAGAATGACACAGACGGGAAGAGGCAGACTTGATTAGAAACCTGGCTGAGCTCTCAAAGATCGGGGAAGAGTACTGCAGGAGGGAGCTGCCAAGGGCAAAGGTGAGGAGGAGCTCGGAGTGTTCTCAGGGGCAGCAAGAAGGCCAATGGGGCTTGAGTGAAACGCACCAGGCAGGGTGGCCCGCAGGCCTGGAGGCGCCAGGAACCGCTGTGCATTCAATCTGTGAGCAGCGAAACCGCGGGATCCGCATCTAGATGGCGCCCTCTGGTGGCCATGTGAGGAATAGACCGTAGTGGGACAAGGGCAGAAGTTGGAGAGCCGGTCGTCACTGAGGTGTCCAAGCAAGAGGGGATGGAGGCTTGGCCCAACGAGGTGGTGGTGGAGAATGTGCAGACTGGCTGGACCCAGGATATACTCTGTGGAGTCTACAGGATTTGCTGATGGAGTCAAGGAGGGTGCCAGTTTCATTCTTAGCCACTCGGCAGGTGGAAGTACCATTTAACCAAGAGGGGGTGACTGTGGGAGGAGGGGGTTTGCACGATCAGGAATTGAGGCTTCCATTCTGCAAATTTTGGTTGAGAAGCCTGTTGGACATTGGGATGTCATGTGTGGGGCTGGTTGATGTGTCTGGAGCAAGGAAAGAATCCAGACTAGAGACATAAGCGTGGAGTTGTCCGGATGCAGATGGTATTTAAAAGCAGGCGGTCCTCCAGGGAAGGGGCACTGCTCCAACAGGCAGGACCGAGCCGGAGCCCTGCAGCCTCCACGGGCTGCCTCCTTCTCTGCCTTGAGCTGCATGACCCGAGGAACTGGGAGGGGGGCAGGAGGCAAGGAAACTCTTTCCTACCACACACCTGGCACTGAGTATGAAATATCTAGGGGGCATATCTGTCCCCCTTCTGGGCTTTCCTGGCCCTGCCCTCACCCAGCTTCGGGGCACTCACGTTAGCCTCCTGCCCAGGCCCGCCTTCCCCTCCCTCCCTCCGCATCCCAGCCAGCAGCCCATTCTCAGATCACTCTTCCTGCCCAAGTTACCCAAAGCACCCTTAATTTCTTCCTTCTTTGTCTTTCCAACCACACACTGGCTGGGCCCCATCCAGGGACCTAGACCTCCAGACCCACCCAGCCCCCCCACGGGCTGCACCCAGTGGATGGAGACAGTCCCTCGGGGCAGACTCCACCTTCAGCCTCAGCAAGGCCCTGAGCTTTCAGCCATCCCCTTGCCGAGCCCTAGGAGGCGCTCTTTCACACACGCCCCTGGCCCTCTGACCACCACTTATTCAGGAACCACAAACACTCTCCTTCAGGAGGTGACCTCAGCTTCCATCCCACTCAAAGCCGGCCAGAGATGAGTCCTCCTCCAGCTTCCCTCCTCACCCTCTCACAGGCCTGGAACCAGCTGTGTGATCACACCCACCTCCTCCACTTGCTGGAGAGCCGTGAGCACGAGGCCAGTGCTGTGCAAGCCACAAACACTCGTCAGTATCGGGGAGGCTGTGGCCACGGGGCCCACTTCCCCTTTTCATAGTCTATCCCTCTCGTCTCCTCTAGGACGCTGCTCTGCTCTTTCTCCAGCTTCTCCAACTGCTTTCCCACATTCACTCATTCCCACATCCTACATCTTACAAGGAAATAGTCCTGAGGCTTTGTTTCCATGTCCCCCCCAACTGCCACCCACCCATCCAAGCCATCTCCTCGCCTTACCTCTTAGGAAGCCCCTCACCCACTGCAATCTGGTTTCCTCTGTGGCACAGCTGGAGCGAAACCAGACCCAGACGTTAATACACAATGATGAGGGGTCCAGGGACTGGGCCAAGAAGGGCTGGGGGACCAGAGACCCCAGTGAGCCAAGGACACATTTGGGAGCTGAATCGACATACTCGGGTTCTTCCACAGTACTGTCCTTCTGGAGACCGCCCCACTTCTGTGGATTAGGCCATGCTCTCCAAAGGCACCCACAGGGCTCCACAACTGATCGCCCTTCGCCACCCCTCCACTGAAACCACGCTCTCAAAGGTCACCTGGACCTTCCAGGTTCCTAAACCCAAAGGCCACTTCTGGATCCTGGATCAGTCATGTTTTGGTGCAGGAACTAAAAAACACTCTAGGTATCTTCAGCAGAAAGGGATTTAAGGTGGGGAATTGGGTGCTTAAAAATCACAGGCGGTACTCTCTGCGTGGGTGGGTCTCCAGGAACGACTCCCAGAACACTGCAGAACTGACCAAGGGGAACTGCTCCAAGGCCACGAGCAGGAAACTTTCCAGGCTGCGTGTCACAGGGAAGCACGGTGCAGGGAGGGTGAAACAGAATGCAGGCCAGCCCTCCAGTGGCTCCATCAGAGGCCCATTCTCCCAGCCTCTCTGCATCATGGAGCTGTGGCCCACTCCCTCCCCTTTTAAGAACTTTTTTTTTTTTTTTTGGCCACGTGGCGCAGCTTGTGGGATCTTAGTTCTCCGACCAGGGATCAAACCCGGGCCCTGGGCAGTGAAAGCACAGAGTCCTAACCAATGGACCGCCAGGGAATTCCCTTAAGTACTTTTTAAACACTTGCCTTGCATTGGCTCGCCCTCCTTTGCCCCCGGCTCCGTGTGTCAACAGACTCCACTCCAGCACAGGTAACAGAAACCCCGCAGCAGGGGTTAGAACAAGCAGGGCCTTACTGCGTCATTCAGCAAAACGTCAGGAGGAGGCAGCCCAGGCCTGGAGCAGCAGCCCCGCGATGCTATCAGGAGCCTGGGCTCATCCTGTGTTTTGGTCCCATCATCCTTAGCACTTGTCCTACACCTTGTGCTTGTTGCTGTGTAGCTGCAAGAGGGTGGCCGCACCTCCCAGCCTCACACTCACATTCCGAGTGGCAAGGAAAGGAAAGGGTGAGGGGGCCCAAACTCATTCTCCTAATGAGAATTTCCTCTTATTAAGGAAGGGGCACCCTCCCCAGGGACTTCCTTATTGGTCAGAAAGGGTCACATGGCCACCCTTGGCAGTAAGGGAAGCTGGAAAATAATGATTTAGCTTTTCAGACTCTGTAGTAGAGGAAGGAAAAGAGGAGATGGATTGGGAATTTTTAATGATTTTAATGAATTTTTAATGGTTGTCAATTTTTAATGTTTGCCGTAACCATAAAGGGAATTAGTTGTCCGGGCTTCAAGCTTTGACGGATCGAGAAGCTCATATGATGTCATCCAGCCTCACTCCCTCTTGCTCTCCACCTCTCCACTCACTGTCTTCTGCTTTGGCTTAATTCTCAGGCTCCTTCTGGTGGCACAGGCAGCTCCAGATTTGCATCATCTTCACAGCTAGAAAACACACCTGAAAGTTTTGTTTTCCTCATTGTTCCAGCAAAATTCCCAGGATTGAATCTCATTGGCCCTGCTTTGGTCACAGGACCACTGTTGAACCAATCACCACAGTCAGGGGATGGAATATTATTAGCTGGACCTAGGTCATGCCTTCTCCACCCCCTTCCTAGAGCTAGGGATGAGGTCAGCCTTATAAATCACCTGGACTGAAAGTGGAGGCATGCTAGTCCCCAAAGAAAGCAAAGACCCTCTCTGGATAAGGTAGAGCAGATGTCTGGTAAACACAAACTGCAGATGTCTCTAGATCCTGACCTCACCTTCCCTGACCTCCCTCCTCCAGTTCTTCTACCTGTCTAACCTCATCCTCATCTCTGGGCCCTTCTTCCAGCTTGGACCTCGTAACACTGTGCTCCACAGGGATCTGAGCTCAATCCTTTTCTCAGTCCAAAGCCACCATGAGCTCACGCAGTCCCGTAACCTTGTGGACATCTACATGGTGATGACACCCAGATGTGTGTCTCCAAAGCAGATCTTGCTATGGAGCTCCAAATGTATCAATCGACTACACTATGTCATGTATAAACACATATAACATACACATACATTTGTAATATGTAAGTACATACCACAAATACACATAACATAAAATTCACTCTTGGCCATTTTGAAGCGTACAGTTCCGTGGTATTAAATACATTCATGACGTGCAGCCAGCGCCACCACTCATAGCTCTTTTCATCTTGTAAAACTGAAACTCTGTCCCCATTAAACAATGACTCCCCATCCCCCTCCCCCCAACCCCTAGCAACCACAGTTCTACTTTTTGTCTCTGATTTTGACTACTCGAAGTACCTCATATAAGTGGAATCATATAGAATTTTTTTTGGGGGGGGGTGTACTTTTTTCACTTAGCATCACGTCCTCAAGATTCATCCATGTTGTAGCATATTGCAGAATTTCCTTCTTTTTTTTAAGGCTGAATCCTATTCCACTGCACATTCCACATAGACCACATTTTGTTTATCCATTCAGCCATTAATGGGTACTTGGGTTGCTTCCATATTTGAGCTATTGTGAATAATGCTGCTGTAACGTGGGTACACAAATGTGTCTTTGAGACTCTATTGTCAATTCTTTGGGGTCTATACCCAGAAGTGGAATCTCTGTGTCATACAGTAATTCTGTTTTTAATTTTTTGAGGAACCGCCATATGGTTTTCCACAGCAGTTGTACCACTTTACTTTCCCACCAACGGCGCACAAGGGTTCCAATTTCTTCACATCCCTGCCAACACTTGTAATTTTCTGTTTGTATGCTTTTTAAAATAATAGTCATCCTAATGGATGTGCAATGGTATCTCATTGTGGTTTTGCATTTCTCTACTGATCAGTGGTGTTGAGAATCTTTTCATGTGCTGATTGACCATTTGTTTATCTTCTTTGGAAAAATGTTTATTCAAGTCATTTGCCCATTTTTGAGTCGGGTTGTATGTTTTTCTGTTTTCAAGTTTTAGGAGTTATCTGTATATTCCGGATATTAATCCCTTATCAGATATACGATTTGCAAATATTTTCTCCCATTCTGTGGGTTGCCTTTTTACTCCGTTGATAGTGTTTTTTCTTTAATGCCCAAAACTTGCTAATTTTCCTGAACTCCAATTTGTGTATTTTTTTCTTTTGTTACCTGTGCCTTTGGTGGTTTATCCAAGAAATCATTGTTAAATCCAGTGCCATGAAGATTTTGTCCTATGTTTTCTTCAAAGAATTTTCTTGTTTTAGGCCTTACATTTAGGTCCTTGATCCATTCTGAGTTAATTTTTGTATGTGGTGTTAATTAAGGGACCAACTTCATTCTTTTTTTTTTTTTAATTTTTATTTATTTTTTAATACTGTTTATTTTTACTTGTTGACAGTTTGCTCTATTTATTTATTTATTTATGGCTGTGTTGGGCCTTCGTTTCTGTGCGAGGGCTTTCTCTAGTTGTGGCAAGTGGGGGCCACTCTTCATCGCGGTGCGCGGGCCTCTCACTATCGCGGCCTCTCTTGTTGCGGAGCACAGGCTCCAGACGCGCAGGCTCAGTAATTGTGGCTCACGGGCCCAGTTGCTCCGCGGCATGTGGGATCCTCCCAGACCAGGGCTCGAACCCGTGTCCCCTCCATTGGCAGGCAGATTCGCAACCACTGCGCCACCGGGGAAGCCCCCAACTTCATTCTTTTGCATGTGGCTCTACAGTTTTCCCAGCTCCTTTTGTTGAAAATATTCTTTTCCCCACTGAATGGTCTTAGCCCCTTTGTCTGCTTTTAATCTGTCTTAGCGAGTCCTTTTTTCACATAATCATCAGAGCAACCTTTCCAAACTGCAAATCAGTAGTAGGATTGGCTCCCAGCGCCCCACATCTGGCTGTGTGACCCGGGGGGTGGGGTTACAGAAACTCTCTTAGGCTCAGCCTCACTCATCTACAAAACAGGATCACAATGGCCATCTCAAAGGGATGTGGTGAGGAGCGCTCGAGACAAAAGACTTGAACACGCTCTGCGGTGTCTGACACAAGAGACAAAAGACTTGAACACCCTCTGCGGTGTCTGACACAAGAGAGATTTCCTACCAAGTGTGGCTCCTTTCTTAACTTCCTTATTACCAGTCAGGTAAGATAAGAAATGTACACCGTGTTCTGGCATGCAAAGCCTCTCAGAGCCTGGCCCCCATTTTTCTTTTGAGGCTCATCTCCCCGCTCCCCACTAAAGCCACACGCACAGATTCACTCGCTTAACAGCATGAGCTCTGGCCCATGGACGCACCTAGAGGTCACCTGCTCAGCCTCACATCCTCAGTCCGCGCATGCTGTTCCCACCACTTGATGCCCTTCCTTCTTCTGCCTTCTCTCCTCCAAGCCAGTTCACATAACCTCCTCCTCTGTGGTCCCCACCAGGAATCCATCATTACCTACATACCTGTTCTGAGAACTCATCACGTGCCTGTAGAATGATCAGAGGATGATCTGCCCCCCTGGACTGGCTCCCCAGGGCTTGGTTGGATCTCACTTTGTCCTGAGGAGAGGCAGTGATGTGAAAAGATGAACGTGGCCTTGTGACTCAGACTCGTGGGATCTCACATCCCTACCATTCACAGACCCTGGGACCCTGGACAAGACAGTTCACCCTCTGGGCCTCAGTTTTTCATCTGTAAAATGGGGATAATCATATCTATTTCACTGAATGTTTGTGAAGATCAGAGGCCGACGGATTTTTTAACAATGTATTCAAGTATTATATGAATAATTTTAAATGTAAAACTGCATCAAATGGGAAGTGTGGGTGTTGAATGGACATTATAGCTCACCCAGGATGGGCAGCCAGGATGCAAACTCAGGTCATCTAAATGCAGAATGCAAGTTCTTAACCACTATGGAAGATGGATAGATGGACAGATGGTAGCGGGATGGAGGGAAGAACAGAGAGTGGATGATGGAAGGAGGCTGCGGGGGGCGGGGTGGACCAGTCGCTGGATAGAATCAGCAGGCTTCCACGTGAGGTTTTCCCAGCTGAAGCCCAGCCACTTCCCACCTAGCCCTCAAAGAGAGCTGGGGTAGGGTGAGGCACGTGAGGCACTCACTTCGGGTGCAGAATCTAAAGGGAAGCTAAAGTCACTAATCAAGATAAATAATCCTTTAGGTGATATCTTCAGAAATCAAAATCAATGCAAAAAAAACCATAATGAACAAAATATCAAAAATAATGTTAATATTTTTAAATTTAAATAAAGATCAAATCTGCCCCAGCGTTTATACGACCTCCCCCTGATCCAGGCCTTACCTACCATCCCAGCACCTCCCCTCCCACCCCCGACCCATCACCCCCAGCCCATCACTTCACCACAACCCCCATCGCCACCCTGTGGCTGGCATTGGAGAGTCGGGGAAGGAAGTGATGGAGAATGAAAGAGAAGGCAGAGAGATGGGGCTGCCACGCTCTTCCCAGCGCCCAGCCCTGCCCGCCCCCCACTACAGTCACCGCCCATAGACCCAAACACAGGCCTTGACGGCTCCTCTGAGTGGCGTTCCCCCTGCCACCACAGGGTGGCGCCCGTGGGCTGATTTTGGTCTCCGAGGAACCAGCGGAAGGGGACAAGGGAAGGGGGTCAGAGCCTCCTGGATCTCCCAAGGCCGCGCTGGGTGCTGGCTGCTTGAAGTGGATTCTTTCATGAAATCCCTCACACCTTCCCTCGTGGGACGTGCTGTCATTATCCCCGTTTTTACAGAGAAGGAAAAAGAGGCCCAGAAAGGGAAAGTGGGCGGCACCTGGTGGGGACCTGGCCATGTCTGCAGGGCTCCTGGACCTGCGCCAGCCACTCACCGGGAGCCCAGAGGCCCCATGCCTCACAGAGGGCACTCTGGGCGGTCTTGGGAATAAATGGGCAAACAGGCCCATTTGGCAGAGTTGGAGACGAGGCTCACGTGGCTGAGTCCCTTAGCTCCCGTCACACAGCCGGAAGAGACGGAGGAAGCAGGGGAAGCCTGGGACTGCCCAGCACCATCCCATGCCCTGACCCCACCAGCATGATCCCCACTTGTGAGGCCCTGTGTCCTGGTCTGCAGACTCAGCCGGGCCCAGAGAGAAAGTTCTAGCAGGTGGGAGTCAGGAGCCTTTGTCCCTCCCCGCTCCGTGCTGACTTTGGCCAGGTCATGTGCTCCATCGGTCCCAGGGTCATCTCAGGACCCTGTGGGCCTGGGGTCACAGAAACCAGATGGGGCCTCCTCCCAGCACATCAATAGCCTGGTGTGGGCAGAAGGGCAGAGGATGAAGGGCAGCCAAGGGGATAGGAGGAAAAGAATAAAAACCAGGACTTAGGGCGCTTGGAAGCACCTCCCTACCTCCATGGTTCTCTCTTCCATAACCACAAGGAGAGAGATCTCAGACACACTAAGGGGCCTTCCAGCAGAACATTCTGGAATTCCAGGACTGCAAGCTCATTGCCATCACAAGCTGGTCTATGTCACCATTCCTGGACATGACTCGCACAGCCCAGCCTGGCCCAGGGACCTGGCTTCCTGATAACTGAAGGTTCTGGTTAACAGAGTTGCCATGCTCTTCTGGCGATGACCAACCTCAGAGTGACACTAGAAGTGGCTCTCATTTCATCCCAGGGCCCTGTTGGGAGTGTTACCACCTCCAAAACCGTGGTCTGCAGGTGGAGAAGAGGTGCCGGCTGGCCACCTGCCTTCTGGTTAGATGGAACTTTACAGTTGTAGGATGTGGAAGGTCAGGGATCAAAAGGCCCTTAGAGCTGATTTGGTCAAACCCTGACACTCACCCCAGCCATTTATTCATACAACAAATACTTACTTAGCATCACCATGTGCCACAGGCTAACCAGATGGAACCAGCCCCATCCCTCCTAGAGTTTATAATCCAGCGATGAAAACAAATATCGAGCAAGTAATTATAGTAATTATAGTGATGGGTCCTAGGATTCTGGTGGGGTGTGCTGAGAGCCGTGAGCATGTGGGTCAGGGAAAACTGCCCAGAGAAAACAGATTAAGCCAAAACCTGAAGCTTGAGTAGGAATTGGCCAGAGAAGGCAAGGAGAAAGAGCACATCTGGTGGCAGGAGTGGCATGTGCAAAGGCCCTGGGGCATGAGAGTACACGGTCTGATCAAGGTAAAGAAAGATGGCCTACAGAGCTGTAGCATAGAGTGAATGGGAGAAGAGGGCAGAGCAGCAGGCAGCAGCCAGACTCCAGAGGGTCTTGTGGGTCATGCTATGGAGTCCCAATGCCATGCTGGAGGCAATAGGGAGCCACTGAAGGTTTTTAGGCAGAAGAGTGACGTGACCAGACGTGTCTTAGAAAAATCAGTCTGGGTACTATGAGGGCAAAGATTCGGGGTGGGGGTGGGGCAAGGCTTGAGGCCAAAAGACCTACTCAAGCTGTCACAAGAGGAAAGATGATGTGATGGTGCCCTGAATAGGGAGGTGGCAGTGAGGCTGCCTGAGGAGTCCATGGCTCCGAGAGTCATTTAGGACACCAGACTCTAGGGAACATTGATTATGCAGGCAGGGAGGAGGGAAGACAGGGGTCTAAATCGATTCCTATAGTCCCACCTGGGTGACTGGGGGCAGGGCGGGGGATCAGTGCTGCCGTTTGCTGAGCTGGAAAACATACAAGGGGCCAGTTTGGGACCCACTGAGCGGAGGAAACACCCAAATGGAGTTGTCAGGTGGGAAACTGGAAATGTAGGGGACGAGTGAGAACAGAGCACGGGGCAGGAGTGTCGGTGCTCACTCTCGGACCTTGAATGATAAAGAAAGAGGTGCTGGGAGAGGCCCCGAAGGAAGCCCAGCATCCCACACACCACTGTGTCCGTGCCCCCAGGGACCGGCGCATTGCTTGGCGTGAGGAAGAGTGGCGAGTGGTACTTTCCAAAGATGGCGGCACCAACATCTCCCATCCGCATCGTCTTATGATGTGACCCCGTGACTATGGTGGAAGTGACACTGAGAGACTTCCAAGGCCAGGTCATAAAAGGCGACTGTTTCCACCTGGCGCTCTCATGGCTCCCAAGGTTACTGGCTACCTGGAACTGCCATGCTGGCGGGGCCACGTGGAGAGCCCACAGAGAGCAAGAGAGAGATGCCAAGCAGTTCTAGATGTTCAAGCCCACAGACCCACCGCCAACCATGCAAGACAGTGAGGCTTCAGGTATCCCAGGCCCATTCTTGGGCTGCCCCAGTTGACACGAAGTAGAGCCGAGACCAGCTGTCCCCACTGAGCCCTGCCTACACTGCAGATTCATGCGCGGAATAAGTGTCATTTAGATCCACCAGGAAGTTCGGGAGCGGCTTGTTACGTAGCAGAACAATCGGCACTTCGTAAATGTGTTGAACAGACATTTCAGGACACATAGAGAAAGGGGAGCCTGCGGAGGAGTCTGGGAAGTGGTTAGGAGGTGAGAAGGAATCAGCGAGTGAGTGAGTGGCCCAAGGGCACACAGCAGACTAGTGGCCAAAACTTTAAGTCTGGTCTCCTCTGACCGCTATACTTGGGTTTTGCCCGAGACTTTTATGCTATCTTCCTCCCTTCTTTCCTTTCTTTTATGATGAGAATTTGTAGCTCCCAGACTATCACCCCTATATACAAAAAACTAGGCATATGAAAGCATACAATAAGGTCCAGGAGAAAAGAAGGCCAACGGGCCACATGATGCTGCCGCTGAGCTGCAGATGTGCTCGAGTTTCTGGGCAGCTGGAGTGAAAAGAGAACAGGGCAAGTTACTCAGTTCTCCTTACTGGAAAAAGGGGAAACAGGCCAGTGCTCCGGTGAGCTGCATTTTCCTAACACCCTGCTAGAAGAAAGCTCTGTGTGCTCTTGATGTGAGGAGCGCTGAGTGACGTCATGCCTTCAACAGCAAATACGGAAGTGGTCTCCTTATTTCCTGTAATAACTTCTTTGCTAAAGGCTGACCCCAGAGCTCTGAAGCCCGGAGTGTATCCTGACATCATTACAGAGAGAAGGACAGCATCTCCCTTGCCGGGGTTGCAAGCGTATATTTAAAATAATGATTTCAGGCCCCTCCGTCAGAGGATGGACCCAGGAGTCAGTGGCCTGACAGTTTGTACGTTAATAGGCTCCCAGGGGGACCTATCCAGGGGTCCCCTGCCAAAGACAATCTTTCCTAAATCTCAGGAAAACAGGGCCTACCATCCACTGGGGCCCCGGAGCACCCTGGAAATCAGACGAGCCATGGGGAGACGGATGAGGGCCAGTGGCTGCCTCCACTGAGGCCCGTTCCACTGTACAGCCACGCCCTCCAACCTTTACAAGCCAGCGCGACGCTCCGCAGTATCCCCATTTTACAGATGAGAACGCTGAGTCCCAGAGGATACTGCCGCAGCTCATAGGGGGAGGCACTGAGGTTCAAAGCCAGGACCCGCTGAGCTACAGGCTGACGCCAGGAAGAGGCCAGTTTCCAGCTGAGACACACATCAACCCTTCATAAAAACAGCCTGAGCCTCACCAGAGACAGTGTCACATTCATTCCCTCAAGAAGCGTGCACTGCACACCTACTGTGTGCCCAGTCTAAGTCCCTCGGAAGCAGCAGGGAACCAAACCAACCCAGTGTATTAACTTATCTACTAACCGTATTTCCTTATTTTCTGCATTCTCCAGGCTCTGGCTTCTGGGGCCTCGCTGCTGGGAAGCGACTTCCACTGCACCAGGGTTAGCTAATTTCTAGAGCTAGTACATGAAGGGACCTGCCAGCATGAATTTCAGATGCAAACCAACCAATCCTGGGTCTGTATCCCCATCTGCTTCCTCTGTCTGGCTTTACATTCCAGGACGTAATAGTCTTTCCTAGAGAGCTAGGAACCACCCCGATTGCCCAGAGCCTGCCAAAATTATTCCAACTAGCCAATCCTAACCCTACTCCATGCTTACCTTGCCTCACCCATTTCTTCCCTGGAAAACCACAATAAAGGCTTTTGTCCATGCCTTCCTCTCACTCTTCCGCCCCCTTGACTGGCCCTGTTACTTCTCTGTGTGGCCCTGTGCGGCCTGCCATGCCCCCTCCTCTTGGGAACCTGTGCGCATAACAGTCTTTTCAGACAGTCATCTCCTGTTGTGTTGGCCTCACCGTACCTGAATAAAACCAAATCCCAGGTAACATTTTAAAACACCTAGCCAAGGACTTCCCTGGCGGTCCAGTGGTTAAGAATCTGCACTTCCCAACCTAAGTGTCCATTGACAGATGAATGGATAAAGAAGGTGTGGCACATATACACAATGGAGTATTACTCAGCCATAAAAAGAAACGAAATTGAGTTATTTGTAGTGAGGTGGATGGACCTAGGGTCTGTCATACAGAGTGAAGTAAGTCAGAAAGAGAAAAACAAATACCGTACGCGAACACATATATATGGAATCTAAAAAAAAAAAAAAAGGTTCTTAAGAACCTAGGGGCAGGGCAGGAATAAAGACCTAGACGTAGAGAATGGGCTTGAGGACACAGGGAAGGGGAAGGGGAAGCTGGGACGAAGTGAGAGAGTGGCATGGACATATAGATACTACCAAACGTAAAATAGATAGCTAGTGGGAAGCAGCCGCATAGCACAGGGAGATCAGCTCGGTGCTTTGTGACCACCTAGAGGGGTGGGATAGCGAGGGTGGGAGGGAGACGCAAGAGGGAGGCGATATGGGAACATATGTATATGCATAACTGATTCACTTTGTTATAAAGCAGAAACTAACACACCACTGTAAAGCAATTATACTCCAAGATGTTTAAAAAAAAAAAAGAACCTGCACTTCCACTGCAGGGGCTGCAGGTTCGATCCCTGGTCAGGAAACTAAGATCCTGCATGCTGCATGGTGCGGCCAATAAAACACCCAGCCCTGCCCTCTGAGCTCACAGAAACGGCTCTGACCAGTTGGTTTTCAAAGCAGGAGGTCCCGGGGAGCCCCAGCTCTACCCGGGGGTGGGGGTGATTCTAGATGGTGTGGCGACCCCACAGGCCAGGACTCAAACCCAGAAGGTGCAGCTGGGTAGCCCTGGCCTCCCCCCATGTCACGGGGCCCACGAACATGGACACGACAGCCAAAGAGACGAGACCAAAATGGCAGAAAAGGGGACTGGGGGGGACCCATGAGGACATGTGTAAACAGAACACTTTGTTAAAGCTCTGTAGTTATACTCTTGAGCAAAAAATGAGACTCCACGATAGACGGAACCTGTCCCAAGTTTACATACGAAGTATCAGATTTCCATCTTTTGAAGGGTTGACAAAAACTATAGAGGAGCGGCTCCAAAATAAGTAGAACTGATGTCCCAGGAAGATGACTTGATGTCAAGCACAATAACCCAAAAGTCAGAACCAAACTCCAGGCCAAATCCCAGCCTGCTGGCGGCGACAGGGTCACCGGCAGCAGCATCCTCTGAGCCCATTTCCTGGTCTGTAGAGCGGGAAGTCGAGGCGCCCTCGGGCGGGGGGACTCCTCTGGCCCTCCCCCCTCAGGCTGCCCCTCCACTCTGGGCCATCCTCTCCTCCTGCGCAGGACCCTCTCCAGTCACAAACGCCCTGGGTCTCTGGTGGCTTGGCTCAAGTGAAGCCACTCCCTTCTTAAAAACGCCCTCCTCTGCCCATCAGCGAACCCCCACCTCTCACTCCCTTCTCGACACCCCCGTTCACTGCCTCCCCTCCCTCAGCTCCCCGGCGCGTGGCCCCTGCCTGGCCACCTCCCACCCCAGTCACCCGGGCTATAACGCAGTGAACCTCCCCCCACCCCCTGACCCTGCCGGGGACACTGACGACCAACTCTTAAAAGGCCATCATCTCTTGGGCTTCCCTGGTGGCGCAGTGGTTAAGAATCTGCCTGCCAATGCAGGGGACACGGGTTCGTGCCCTGATCCGGGAAGATCCCACATGCCGCGGAACAACTAAGCCCGAGCGCCACAACTGCTGAGCCCACGCGCCTGGAGCCCGTGCTCTGCAACAAGAGAAGCCACCACGATGAGAAGACTGCGCACCGCAACGAAGAGTAGCCCCCACTCGCTGCAACTGGAGAAAAGCCCGTGCAGCAATGAAGACCCAGCACAGCCAAAAATAAAATAAATAATTTTTTTTTTAAAGCCCTCATCTTGGGGTCTCTGACCACTCCTGGGTTTCCTCCTGTCTCTCCGACTCCTCCCCTTCCTTCCCTGTGGTGGCATCTCTCTCCAGGGCCCCACGGGTTAACGCCTTGGTTCCCACCAGCAGCCACCTCCCTGGCCAGGGCCGTCCACCACCCACCTAGATGCTGCAAATACCAGCTGCTCTGTTTCTGTGGGCTCAGTAGTTGTGGCTCGCAGGCTTGGTTGCTCCGCGGCATGTGGGATCTTCCTGGACCAGGGCTCGACCCTGTGTCCCCTGCATTGGCAGGTGGATTCTTAACCACTGCGCCACCAAGGAAGCCCAAGCAAACTTAATCTTATCTGTCCCCATTTTGCAGATGACAAAAAACAAGGCTCAGCGGTTAGAAGTCCACAAAACTGGCAGATGCCAAGGTCAGCATTTGCATCCAGGTCTCCATGGCTCCCCTACTGCTGACTCTACCAAACCCTTTGCCACCCACAGTGAGAGTACCCTCCCTCCCAGGCTACCTGCATACAAGCTGTTAGACATGATCGGGGCTGTAGGGGAAGAGCGAAGGAAGGTGTAATCACCGAAGGCTTCACAGAGGAGGTGGTATTTGAGTTGAGTCTTAGAGAAAGAGATAGTAATAATACTGAACCATTCAACCAGTCCTTCAGACAAAAAGGGAAGTCCCAGATGCCAAACTGTGGCCCTGGGCAAGGGACACCTACTGGGCCTGGCTGTAGCATTAGAACATGGGTCAGTGGTCCCCAAAGCCATCCCCAGTTTCAGTGATTCACCAGGAAGATTCACAGAACTCGGCATAGAGTCTTACCTGCAGCTGTGCTCTATTGCAGCAAAAGGATACAAAGCAAACTCAGCGAAAGCACGTGGAGTGACGTCCAGAGGCAACCAGGCATGAGCTTTCAAGCATCCTCTCCCAGTGGAGTCACAAAGGAGACACTTCATTCCTCCAGCAAGAACTTGTGAAAACACATGAGAGGTGCTGTCAACCAGGGAAGCTCAGTAGAGATTCCGCTCCCCGGGTTTTCACAGGGAGCTGCTCGCGTAGGCACCCTCTGCCTAGCACACACCCAAATCCCGGAGTCCTGGGAGGAAACGGGTGTTCAGTACAAACCACACTGTTTGCACAAACAGTTTGGGTCACTCTTACCAGGGAACAGCAGGAACCCTCCTGAAATCCAAGTTCCCAGATGCCAGCCGGGGACCAAAATGCAAGTTGGCCTTTTATATATATGGGTATGTGGGGTTTTTTTAATTGAAGTATTATTGTTGTACAGTGTGTGTTACCTTCTGGTGTACAGCAAAGTGATTCAGATATAGATATAGATATATACTTTTTCAGATTTCAGATTCTTTTCCATTATAGGTTATTACAAGATATTGAACATAGTTCCTGTGCTGTACTGTAGGACCTTGTTGTTTATCTCTTTTACATACAGTAGTATGTATCTGCTAATCCCAAACTCCTAATTTATCCCTCCCCCTCCACACGTTCCCCTTTGGTAGCCTGTGTTTGTTTTCTATGTCGGTGAGTCTGCTTCTGTTTTGTATACGAGTTCATTTGCATCATTTTTTTTTTGGTTCCACCTATAAGTGATATCATATGATACTTTCTTTGTCTGACTCCACTTAGTATGATAATCTCTAGATCCATCCGTGTTATTTCATTTCTTTTTTTATGGCTGAGTACTATTCTATTGTGTGTGCATGTGCGTGTGTGTGTGTGTGTGTGTGTGTATCACATCTTCTTTATCCATTCATCTGTCGATGGACACTTAGGTTGCTTCCCTGTCTTGACTATTGTAAATAGTGCAAGCAGTCCTTTTAAAGACTAATGGTCTCAGACCCACTGTTAACACTTTTCTGCACAGGGAATGACACCTTTCTCTCCATTTCTCTTTTTGAAGTGACCCAGGAAATGGTTTTTTTGTGCCTGAGGCCCTGATGTGTTGAGAAAATTCTAGTTTACCATGAAGATAATGTCAGCAAGTTTCCTAGGAAATAACCTTGAGCTAGGCAAGAACTGGAAGACAGTGGGTGCTGGCGTGGGGGCAGGTTTGAAGAGCCTGAGAGCTCTAGACCAGCAGTGAGTAGGCCCAGCTGCTGGCCCTCAGCCGGCTCCTCACTCAAGTTCCAACTTGGTCAAGCGTGTCCCCGAAAGGAGCCTCAGTTTTCTCTTCTCCATGTGTCTCCATCCTCAGCAGGCCACCCGGGGCAGCTGGGCCACAAGTTTTCTTAAGGCCTCGCCTGGAAAGTCATGTAACATTTACTTCTATCACATTCTAGTGGTCAAAGAAAGACAACAGCCCAGTCCAGATTCAAGGGGAAGAGAAATAGACACCACCTCTTGATAGGAAGAGTGGCAGCGTCACAGTGCAAAGGGGTGTGGAGACAGGAAGTGGTGGAAATTGTAGCCAACTTTTGCATCAACCACACCATCTCCCCTGTGTGCCCTTCATTCATTCATTCATTCATTCATCCATTCATTCATTGCACGCTTGAACACTCCCTAGGTTCCCAGCATTTACCAGACATGGGACACAGAGGTGACCTTGTCCTCATGGGGCCTCGAGACTGGTGGGGAAACAGATGAATAAACCGACATGTGCCACAAAGTTACAAGGAATGAGCATTTACTTTATAGATCTTTCTTTACACCGTACCTTTTTCCATAAAGAATGGAATCAGCCTGCCAAAAAGAGGCACAAGCAATAAAATTATGAATTTTAACCCCCAAAGAAAATTTAAACCGAAAGGGTAAAGAAGATAGTGTTTATTGAATAGCCAAGCATCTTACACACATTATCTCCCTCCATCTTTTCCATAACCCTGAGGTGAGGATTATTATTCCCCTTTCGTAGTTAAGCAAACTGAGACTCATGGCAGATAAGTGACTCACCCAAGTTCACACAGGTCCTGAGTGGCAGAGCTGAATCACACTGCTGAGTCTGGCCTTAAAGTCTGTATGCTACAACAGAACAGCTGTAAAAGAGCTTCAGATTTGACTGAGCTTCCTAGCAGCCTGAGGGAAAAGGGAAACTGAACATAATGCCCGACTGACCACTAGGCAGGAAAAAGCCAGGCATTTCATTGAGGGGAAGCAAAGCCCTTCCTAGCACTCAATTAATTTTTCTTTGCTCAAGGGAGAGTTGATGAAGGAGAGCTTGTGGGGTGGAATTGATTGGGCTCAGCTTGGACAGTCCAAGTTGAATGATCCTTCAGCTTATATGCAGGGAGGTTCTGTCCTCCAGTAATCATCTTCCTCTGGGGTGTGTGTGTGTGTGTGTGTGTATCTGTGTGTTTGTGTTTTTTTCTCTGTGTCACCATCTTTCTCTTTTTATCCCTCTCTGTCTCTTTTGCCTCTGTCCCTCCCTTGCCCACACCCAAAATGCAGAGTCCCCGCTACCCAAAACTCTGCTGGTTTTTAGGAAGTGCTGTGACATCAAGAGACTACGCACCAGACCCCAGCAGGACAGGACTTCCTCCCCACACTGTGCTGGGCGGGGCAAACGGGAAGGGGCCTGCTGTCGCTGAGATGACGCATCCCTGCCTGAGCAGCAGCTGGGTCAGTGGGCCACAGGAGCACAGGCCACCTTTCCCCGGGGGCTTCAGAATGGACTTGTGCCACCCAGGTAAGCACCTGGGCCGACCTGTCAGTTTCCTGTTCTGTAGAACGGGGATAACGGTGCCTGCCTCGCAGGAATCGGTGTGTAAATAGATATAACACAGACGGGACTTGCAGAAGCAGGCAACAGATATTTATGAGCTCAGGCTAGGTGCCAAGCTGTGTAGCATATGCTGGGAGTCCCGCGAACAAAGCAGGCATGGCCCCTGCCCTCATGAGCTTACGCTCTAGACGGGGAGACAGACAGTAAATATATGAATGTACTATGTCAGGTGGTGACGAGCAGAATGAAGACCAGTAAAGTGAGATAAGGAAGATGGGTGGCTGGAAGTCCTCAAGAGGAGACTCCATTTGAGCAGAGACTTGTAGGCGGGAAGGGAGTGATCCATGTGGGTTTCTGGGGAAAGAATATTCCAGGCAAAGGAACAGCCAGTGCAAAGGCCCTGAGGTGGGACTGAGAAAGGTTGTTTGTGTTGAAGATGATGATGTCTGCGAGAATGATAACTGTCTGGGTGGCACAAGGGCCCTGCAGCCCGTTTGGCCTCTGGTGGGTGACAGTGGCCTTTGGGGAGGCTAAGGGCACCGCTTTTGCCAGTGGAGCGGCCAGCAGGGGACCATGGCTGAGACCCTACCTGGTAAGCAGGAGAGGAGGCTGTCAGTTGGTACAGGAAGAGGACAGGACTGTGTTGTGCTGTGTTTCTGTGAGGCCGAGAGGAGAGCGGCCAAGTCTCTGCGCCCTGCATCTCAGAATGTTCCAACATGGCCTGGAACTCCAGAAGACAAGGGTTGCCAGGAGCTATCCAGTTCCCCAGGTCCAGATGACGTGAACCCTGTTAGCCACAGACCCCTTTCTTCAAACAAAACCTAAAACAAAGCAGTCTGAGCCCACACACTGGGCCTCCCCTCGCCCCAAGTGTTCTGGGGAACACAGAGAACCACTGACCCATTTCAACAGCCCCCATTTTCAGCTGGAACAAAGGAGACCAGGAGAGGGACAGTCTTGCTGAGGCAGGATGACTCCCCACCTCCAAGCTCCCTGTCCAGTGCTCTCTCCCCGAACCCCATGCCCCTCCTGGGGGCTTTTGGGGGCGGGTGGCTCGCGGACTGTACGGCTCGGTGAACACATCTTAGGGGCAAGTAGGGACGCAAGCGGAGACCCAGGAGGAACAGTGCCTGGCTCAAGGTCACTCAGCAGATACGGGGGTGACAAGAAACAGTGAAGTAATCCCCCCCACACTGCCTGTCTTTCCACCGTTATTCTTGGGGTCTTCGTGTACAGAAGTCCTTAGGGTGGTTGCACCCATAATGCAAAGAGGAAACTGAGGCTCACAGAGGTGAACTGGAGGAGAGGACGGAATTGCCCAAAGTCGGGCGGCCAATTAGTGGCAGAATAAGGACAAGATCTGAGAAGAGCGAGAGCCCCAGCTGAGCCTGGGCTGTCAGGGAGGGGAGGGGCGAGGCCTCCCAGGGAGGCCAAGAGGTGAGTCACTGCTTTGCTTCAGGCTGGTCCTGGGACGACAGGGATTGAATGGAGTCACTGCAGGCAGTCTCTTGGGAGATGTGAGGACTGCACTGATCAGTTCATCTACTCATTCATTCATTCATTCATTCAATAAGTAGTCCTGTGGTGTGCAGGTCCTGGGCTGTGCAATGCTAGAGACAGCAATGACCCAGCCACAAGCCCAGTCCTGAGGGAGCTGCTGGCTCGGGAATGGGGGGGAGGGGGAGAAAACCCTATAGGAGAGTGACCCAGGGCAGATGTGCAAATGGGCACAGACCTGCAGCCTGGAAGAGAGCGACTCTCTCTACCCGGGGCAAGGGAGATCTGGGAAGACTTCCTGGAGGAAGTGGAGGGAGGGAAGGTCATTTCTCTGCTACCCAGACTGGGTCTTACTCGGAGCTCCTTCACAGCCCGGTGACTTGCCCTCTCTGAGCTCCGATTTGTCACCTCTAAGTGGACACCATCATCCTGGCCTCACCCCGGGGAAGTGGGGAAAGAACAAGGATTTGGAGTCAGCCCGACCTGGCTCAGATCTCAGCTGTGCACCAACCTGCCAGTGGTCATGATGGGCCTCTTCCTTCTGTGGGTTTCAGTTTCCCTGCTCATACAATGGACAGGATGGTGGCAAAGGGGCTGCCTGCCCTCCTCCAGCTGTGGGTGTCTGACACCCAGAAGCAGGTCCCCTCCCCCTAGGTCTGCTGAAAAGCTGAGAGGTCCAGGCAACAAAGCCCCAATGTGACCAAAGACAGCCGCGGGGCTGGTGCAGCAAGACTGCAGATTAAAAATAGAGGCAGATGGGTTGGGGGAGGAAGCCACACGATCTGATGCGCCTGCAGGCCCTCTGGGGCTGGGGCGGGGTGCAGCTCTGCTAGCC